TTTAAAAATCCCACTAACAGGGCCGGTCAAGTGGCTCAGTTGGTTAAGAGCTCGCTGAAGAGTGCAAGCTCTGAGCAACAGCGGTTCGATGCCCGGCCCGAGCTGAGCTGCCAACAGGTGGCAGGATGGCTCAGCTATAAAAAAAAGAAAAAAAAAATCCCAATAACATTGTATGAATTTCCAATTTCCCCCTATCTTTAATTTACCAACACTTTGTGATCTGCCCTTAGATTATAGCCATCTAGTGCGGGTGAAGTGATGTCTTACTGTAGTTTGGATTTGCCTTTTTCTGATAGCTAATGATGTTGAGTATCATTTTGTGTGCACTGCCTATTTGTACATCTTCTTTGGAGAAACATGTAGTCATATTTTTTGCCGTTTTTTAACAGCTTTTTAAATCTTATCCATTTGATGCTCATTTCTTAAGTGGCTTTTTCATATTCTTATCATTTAGTTGTAAGAGTTCTTTATATAGTCTGGGTACAAATCCCTTATCTAAGAAAGAATTTACAGATATTTTCTCCTAATTTGTGGGTTATATTTTTACTGTCTTGATGGTATTGTTTGTAGCTTTTGATGAGCTTCAGTTTATCTGTTTCTTCTTTTGTTGGTTGTGTTTTTGGTGTTGTATCCCAGAAAGCATTACCTAACCAAAGATGAAAGATTTACTTCTATGGTGTTGTCTAAGAGTTTTATAATTATAGGTCTTACATTTAGGTATAATCTATTTTCAGTTAATTTTTGTACATGGTGAGAGGTAAGGTTCCAACTTCATTCTTTTTATGAAGATATCTAGTTGTTCCAACACCATATGTTGAAAAGACTATTCTTTCCCATTGAGTGGTCTTGGCATTCTTGTTGAAAAATCAGTTAACTGTAGATATATGGGTTTATTGGAACTCTTAATTCTATTCCATTGATTTATATATATGTTTAAGCTTATGCGATTATTAATACTATCTTTGTTATTTTAGCTTTGCAGCAAGTTTTGAAATTGGGAAGAGTGGGTCCTCCAACATTTTTGTCCTTTTTAAAAATTGTTTTGACTACTTTGGGTCCCTTATATTTTCACATGAAGTTTAGGATCAGCTGTCAATTTCCGCAGAAAGGTAGCTGGAATTTTGAAAGGAATTATATTGAATCTGTAGGTCAATTTGGGGA